GCCTCCTGGGTCTAAGGTTGGGGGTATGAAATTGTGGATTATACAACTATGAGACGCATCTCAATAAGTATAAAACCCCAAACCCCACGTAGGCTCTCACGTACCACCAAACAAAAACACGCACAACGCACACAGCAATTAACCATACCCACAAACACATGCGATCCTACTTGGAATCCATCATGCACATCCCTGCACGTTAGATAATAATACAACCAACATGCCACAGCAATACATCATAGCCACGCGCATGTCTCAATTATAAGGCAAAACCTACTTGGCACGTCCCATACCATGCCTAGCAGATTTTACCGCATAATTGAGCACTACAATAAGCGGTACAAGCCACACTTGCACACGAACTCACGCCAGCCTCGATTATAAGGCAAAACCCACTTGGGCACATCCCATACCGTGCCTAGCAGTTTTTACCCCATAATCGCGCACTACATCACACCATGCGTCCGCTTCCACAATCCTCACACGTCTTGCCAAGTCCAACTTGTTCTCAACCTCTCCACCACTACCGCGCCCGCGTAAAACGCATCAAGCCAACGGTCTTCTGACCTCATCAGGCATCGTCACCCCGTCGGGCCGGGCATCGTCACCTCGTTAGGGATGGCATCGTCCCGCGTAAACGAACACACCTCAGGACGGATCCTACCTTCTCACTTCCTTCTCTACCACGCTCGCGTAAAACGCATCAGGCCAACGGTCTTCTAACCTCGTCAGGCATCGACACCCCGTCGGGCCGGGCATCGTCACCTCGTCAGGGACGACATCGTCCCGCGTAAACGAACACGCCTCAGGACGGAACCTTTCCAACCAATCCTACATTCCCGTACCTTCGCACCTCATGTGCCACACTTACCACACGGCCACACATACACACGGTCACCCACTATTTCACACTCCACACACACTTCGCAATGCACACCCTCGTCACACGAACACCACACGAACACCCATGCTTGGCACACGAACTCACTGCGGAATCACACCACCACACCTCACGGTCACACACACTCAGCCTAAGACACATTTCCCGATCAGCCAACAACAATGGGTCAAACAATTTTCCATACAAATTCAATCAGACCTTAAACAATTCCAATCAAGCACCCAATTCAGCCAAGTCATGCCGCATCATAGCAATCCTATCCGAGCCTACCGAACCACACATATTCAGTCACTGATCAGCCCACAACAGCACAATATCCAACCTTGATCTACACTCCAAAACAGCCACTATAATCACCTATACCGAGTCGTAATCACGTCTAACAATACCCGAGGTCCTAGGTAACATTTAGGGAAGTCACTTACCCTAAAAGGGCGTGACAAACAGGGCTGAACAGAGGCTAGGATGGCCGGAACAGAAGCAGCAGCCGAGCAGCAGCGGCGGCGGCGCCGGCGGTCAGGCGGGCGAACGGCGGCGAGGCTGCGGAAGGGTGGCTGGCGGGCGGCGATCGGGCGGCTAGGGGCGGCGATGGGGACGTACAGGGCAGGGGAGGACGGCTAGGGGTGGCTCGACGATGGCTGAGCTGATCGGAACAGCGAAACAGAGAGAGAGACAGGCGGGCGGTGATCAAGCACGGCTGGGGAAGAGGAAGCACCGGCGGTGGACGGCTGGGCTGGGCGGTGACCGGCGGCGACAAGCTGGTAGCCGGCCAAGGGCTTCACGCACGGGGGGGAGGGAGAGAGAGAGAGAGAGCAAGCCGATCGGTGGGGGGTGAGGAGAGAGAGGGAGAGAGAGGAAAATGAGAGAGAAAGAGAGAGAAAAAAAGAATATAAATAATCTAACCCCAATAATTGCACCCCAGAATTTACCAAAATACCCCTCTAACTACCCTCCGATCCAATGGCCACTATTTGATCTTATCCAAATCCGACGGCCCACGATTGTCCTTATCCAATAATTCAAAGGGCAAAATGGTAATTACTCAAAAAGGGAGAAGGGCATTCCTGTCCTCTTATTTTCGGCCATACTGGGTAATTCTCAGTCCCCCGACTTAATCCGGTCCTTAAAATTCGTTCGCGGTCCCAGGGGCAAAACGGTCATTTTTCCGGTCCCGGACCGAAATCCATTTTTTTGCAGAAATGGGTGGCCCCAAGGTTGGCCAAGCCAAAAACGTCATCGGCCGCTCCGAATTGTCACTTTCAAAATTCTCGATTTCCGTGCCTGAATTTCAAGAAATGACTAGAATCGCACCATCGCGACTTTAGCTTATCTCTTGCTAACGGGTGGCTCATTGGGATTACGCGCTCTCGACCCGTGATCGACACTAAGTCAAATCACGTTTAAGTTTGCTCGAACCAAGGCGACCTCGATTGTCATGTAATTGCGAGGGTCTGTCGCTAGTTCCCTTCGGACACGATCAATCAAATAGATCGCTCTCTGTTGGCCCAAAATATTCCCTCGTCAATCCTTATAGTCGAAGGTCGAACTAAGGTCGAGTTCTTTGGTCGTGCGAACTCAATCCCATAATGGCCTTACCCCTAAGTTAGCATCCCGTGAATGTGCGGTTCCGGGTGAGATCTCATTATAAGTGCATTGATCAAAATATTCATTTCATGAATCCCGGGAAAAGGATCGAAAATTCAGACCGTTACAGTATAAGATGTCGCAGTCGTAATCGTTTAGAAGTTCCATCCATCGGCGTTGTCTCATATTCAATTCTTTCTGAGAAAATAAATATTTCAAATTCTGATGATCCGTATAGATTTGAAACTGTTCTCCACATAAATAATGCCTCCAAATTTTAAGTGCAAAGATGATGGCAGCAAGTTCCAAATCATGCGTCAGGTAGTTAAGTTCATGAGGTCTTAATTGTTGTGATGCATATGCAACCACTCTTCCATGTTGCATTAACACGTATCCTAATCCCTTTAGTGACGCATCACTGTAAATCTCGTATCCTCCAGGACTTGAGGGTATTGTCAATACTGGTGCGGTAGTCAGCTTATGCTTAAGCTTTTGGAAACTTCTCTTGCACTTATCTGTCCATTCAAACCTTGATTCCTTCTTAAGTAAACGAGTCAGAGGAGTAGCTATCGTGGAGAACCTTTCCACGAATCTTCTATAATAGCCAGCTAGTCCTAGGAAACTCCGAACTTCTGTCACTGTCGTAGGTCTCGGCCAATTCGTAACCGCCTCAATCTTAGTTGGATCCACTGAGATTGCATCCCCAGAGATCACATGTCCAAGAAATGCTACTCGATTCAACCAGAACTCGCACTTACTAAACTTAGCGTAGAGTGCGTGTTCTCTCAAGGTCCGTAGAACCATTCTTAAATGTTGCTCATGCTCCTCGGGACTTTTCGAGTACATCAATATGTCGTCGATGAATACTATAACAAACAAATCCAAGAATTCCTTGAATACCCGATTCATCAAATCCATAAAAGCAGCTGGGGCATTAGTCAATCCAAACGGCATAACCGTAAACTCGTAATGTCCATATCTTGTACGAAATGCCTTCTTCGGTATATCCTCCTTTTTAATCCTCAACTGATGGTAGCCCGTTCTTAAGTCTATCTTGGAAAATACAGAAGCCCCTTGTAGTTGATCGAACAAGTCATCTATTCTTGGTAATGGATACTTGTTCTTGATGGTTACTTGGTTCAACTGCCGATAGTCGATGCACAAACGCAACGAACCATCTTTCTTTCTGACGAACAACACTAGTGCTCCCCACGGTGACGCACTTGGACGAATGAATCCCTTGTCTAGCAGCTCTTGCATCTGAACTTTCAACTCCTTCAATTCTGATAAGGCCATTCTGTAGGGCGCTCTAGAGATTGGCTTCGTCCCAGGAGCCAACTCAATTGCAAACTCCACTTTCCTTTCAGGTGGCAATCCCGGCAATTCTTTAGGAAAGACATCGAGAAAGTTACACACCTCGGCTATGTCCTCTAGCCTTAGCTCCTCAGCCAATGAGTCAAATACAGTCGCTAGGTAACCTTGGCATCCTTCATCCAACAGCTTAGTCACCCTAAGCGACGAAATCCATGGGATCGAGGTTCCTTCTCGGTTTCCCACAAACTCATATCGAGGATGACCAACAGGATTAAATTGGATCACTCTACTACTACAGTCCATCACAGCCCTTTGTTTTACTAGCCAATCCATACCAATAATGACGTCAAAATCAAACATAGCCAATACAAACCAAATCAATTAATTCCTTTCTACCACTACTGACTATCTTACAGTTCGAACATCCTACTGAGATTAGCACTTTATCCTTTAGAGGGGTAGTAACATGCAACATCACTTCTAATGGTTTCGGTTCGATCCCAGTCAATCTAACAAATTGCTCTGACACAAATGAATGCGATGCTTCCGGATCTAACAAGGCATAAGCAGCATGATCACATAAAGAGACCGTACCTATGACCACGCCAGGCGCATCCTCCGCCTCTTTGCGAGCCATAGCATAGATTCTTCCTTATGCTGGGGGTAGGTTCTGATTATTCTGCGGAGCGGTTCCAGCCTGATTCCCCATCCGAGGTTGTTGTGGCTGAAGTGGCGACCTAACTTGTCGATTCGGGCAATCCTTCACTTGGTGACCGTGCTGGCCACATCCAAAGCAAGTTCCATTCCTGCCAGGGCAAGGGCCATTCCCATGCCTTCTCCCGTAAAATCGACACGAAGTTCCAGAATAGTAGGTCGGCTTTACGATATTCTTTTTGACCGGAGGGACAAACCTCCTATTCCCATTCATAGGTTTCTTTCCAAAGTTACGATTATCCCTAGCCGGTATAAACCGCGATCCAGATGCGGCATTCCTCTCAGTCATGTCTCTCTCAATCATCTAAGCCCACTCATAAAGCTCGTTGTAATCCCTAAGGTTCAGGAGTATCAATCGGCTGCGAAGTTCCGGCTTTAAACCATCTCGGAACCTTCTTGCCTTATTCAAAGGATTCTCGACCATCCTCAGTGCGAACTTCGATAACCTAGCAAATTCTGCCTCATACTGATCCACAGTCATATGATTCTAGCAAAGCCGTAAGAATTCTGCCATCTTCTGTTCTTGAGCACTCTCAGAAAAGTAGTTCCCATTAAAGGCATCGATGAAGCCGGTCCAGTTCGGCACCGTGCCCACCGGGAAAATTCTTTCTCGGGTGGCCTTCCACCAATCATTAGTATTATCTTGAAGTTGATACACAGCCAAAGTCACCTTTTCCTCCTCTGTGCACCCTAGAAGTGCAAAGGCCTTTTCCAATTCCTCAACCCATCGAGTGGCAGCCTCGGGATCACCTTTCCCGTCGAACTTTGATGGCTTAAGTTTCAAGAACTGCTCTACCAGCTTATGCTTCTGGTGATTCTCATTTCCATTTCCATTCCCCGGATTATTCTGAGCGGCGACTGCAGCAGCCTCAGCGGCAGCAGTAGCAGCAGCAGTTCGTTCTTGAGTCTGCAAGCCTATCAACTGTCCAATCGCCTCTAGAGCCCTTAAAACTCCATCAACTCTAGGATCCTCTGCCGTTCTGGCTCGCGAACTCGATTCACCTCTGGTTCCTCTACCCCGGGTGTTCATCCTCACAGAAATCACTCCAAACACCTAAGACTGCTATAATTCCACCATAGAATTAAAGACTTAAACTAACTACTCGGCTTAAACAGTTCTAGGCAACGAACCACAGCAAGCAGTTGTAAGCAAGCAATTACCCCAAACAAGCATCATAAGTACACACTTAGCAAGGTTCTGGATCTTACCTTACAGCGCCTGCAACGTTAGTAATAGCACTAAACCACTCAGCATTCATAAGCAGATAACCGTATGATGCAAATTCAAGCTTACCAATCACAAGCATATATTCTCAAAGCACACACAAAGCGTCACAAACTTGTGATCAAGGCAAGTCTCTCTAACTAGCTACCCCAAAGTCATCGCTCCTTATCACTCCAGGTCTCGACCAAACATGGATCAAGCTTACCTTGCTCTGATACCATTTAAACGGGGATGTCACACCCCGTACCCTACGAACACGTAACATCCCGCCGCAGTCGTTAAGAAAGCGACTCCTAAGATTCGTCGCCGACCCGTTACCATCGAATAAGAGAATATTCGCGGAAGCCAAACGAACACTCCATTCAACAAATATTCAAACAGGATAATAGAGAGAGACAATTTAAACAAACCAACAAACCATTTTATAAACTTAACGTCACATACAACGATAACATATACAAACCTTTCTAAAGGCCACAAACTCAGACCACGCATACTCAAAAAGGGATAGGGTGGTCGATCTGCTCCACTACTATAGTCAAAAGAGGAGCTCCAAAAAGATAGAGATCTCTAACCATATCAAAAACCTCCACATCATCCTGGCGGTGCTCCTGGCGAAGCCGGATCAGATGCCTCGCTATAAGAACTAGACGGTAAATGCTCCGATTCAGGTTCTGATTCCTCAGACCACGCCGGGGGTTCCGTAACCATCGGTTCGGACTCAGGATTAACTACAGCTCCATCAGGGGGATCAATCTCCATAAGATCCCACACTCCTAAACCATCGTCAGGGGGAATATCAAATCCCCGGAGAGGACCAAAAGTCTGAGCTCCATCCCTCAGAAACCAAGCCATATACTTGTGAGCTGTCAAGTATTGCTCACCATCATCGACCCAAACTGTACTCTCGTACTTCCGATACTCCCTATCCTCACCAACTGGGTACTCAGTCACCCAATGCTCCGTCTCCATTGGTACCCCGAAACGTAGCGGAGGCTCAGTCATAATCAAGGTCGAGGGACTAAAATGTTTAACAACGGGGAATGAGATAAAATGTCACATCCCAATTTTTGGGCCTGGGAAGCCACAGGTAAATTGTAATATCCTTATTTCAGTCCCTGGGAAATGGCTATGGTTTAAGTTTGATGGTTTTCCAATCAGAACTAAATTGTTTTCTCTTGTTTTGGAAAACCCAGTTTCGGATCCTTTGTATCCCTTCGTTTTGTTATTTTTGGAGAGACTTTTGTGATCCGAATTTCCAAACACTTTCTTCTTGAAAGTTGTTCCAAACATCTTAAAGTTTTACATACTTTAATTTCATAATTTTTGAAGTTGATATGAGTGGTACGATGGCCTGATTTTTGGACCGTGTGAAACTGCCCAGAATGGATATTTCAGCGATGTTCACACCGTATTTATTTTCTACAAGATTTTCCGGGATGATTTTGGAAAAGTTTCCTTCACAAAAGTTGTTGAAAACTTCTTCTTCTATAAAGTGTACAAATTTGGGAATTTTTCGAGATGATTTGTATTCTGGACAGAGCTTAATTTGAGAAACACGAATTCTGTTCCAGTGAACTGTTTTTAGTCTGTATTTGAGCTACTAAAAATGGTGTTTACAGAGAGATTCCGATTTTGTGTTCTTCAGGAGAAATGTTTGTTAAAGCCTTGCTTATGACATATCCGAATTTGAGAATTTTCGGAGTCCATTTACTATATTTTCAAGTCCGATTTCGTGAACAGTGCAAAGCTGTTCGGTTTTATCAATTTCTATATGAGAACGTTGGAATCCCGACTTGATGTCTTTTGGTGATATTTAAGGACATATCTGGGCCGAACCTCGGCTTGGATGGAATTAGTATGCGTGTTTATTGCAAAAAACCCTCGGAAAATAAGTTAGATGTTTATGAAGTGGGTTGTGGTTTTTTGTGCCAAATGATCTATTTCGTGTGACCCGATTGGCCCGAGTCATTTGCGTGAGAATTCAACAAAGTCAAAAGGTTCTAGGGAGTACACGGTTCGGAAAATTTGTAGAGGAATCTAGAGGATAAGGCATTGACCGAGTCAAAGCTTATCCTCCAAGCTTTATTAATTGGCCATTATTGTTCTTGACTTTGGAGGCCACCTTCATAATGGCTTGTATTGATTGCTTGAACTTGGTGGCCCTTCATGATGTCTTACATTAATGAATCAAGACTTTAGGGCCCTTCATCATGACTCGCATTAATGGAAGTTGGACTTTGGAGGCACCGTCATCATGATCAACATTAAATGTCTTGAGTGGTGACCAAGTAAGGCTTCTATGTATAAATAGGAAGAGAGAAAGAGAGAGAGAGAGGGAGAGCCTCACGTGAAGCCCCCCCCCCCCCCCCGTTCTCCTCTCTCACGCCTCTCTCTCTCCCTTCTCACGCCTTCCTCTCCTCCTTCACGCCATCCCCTTCTTCTTTGGTCTTCTTGCTTCCTAGTTCACGCCCCGAGAGCTCCGGCCAACCTTCTTTTGTAACAGCCTGAATTTCGACGTAATTCCGGGATCAATAAAATTGATATTATTTCGCATTTCATTTTAGTAAGTCTCGCCCAGAGCTGATTACTCTCGGGATACTAACCAATAGGATATGGCTAACTAGAAAATGGTACGTGGACCAATGACCCGATCGTGAATTGGACACCGATCATGAGAAATGATAAGAGATTGTTTTGGGCCAACGTGGGCCGATCTTAAGAAAAAGTGATGGATGTGGTTTGGCCAAGGCCAACGTTGTGCAATCAGATCGCAAGTGATTTTGCATGACTGAGAGTACACGTGGCCAACCAGTCCTGAACTTGAATCGAACGATCGTGACCTCTGGGACTAGTGATAATTTCTCATTCTCTTAATGATCGAGACCATCGTGACTCGGATAACCCTAGGTCAATACGCGTATGTTCTAAACAGCCGCCCGTTAGTGAGAGACCCTGAAACTTGAAACCGAGCGAGTTTTAATCACGAAATTGGGCCCGGATTTCGATGTCGATTTTCGGAGGGTTAAGAGACTATTTTTGGAAAGCTGACGTCATATTACGCTGGCCACACATGTTTGGAGTTAGTACGTGTAAAAATTGAAATTTCGGTCCGGGGGTGAAAAATTACGATTTTGCCCCTGTGGGCACCGGTATTGGATTTTGAGGCCGTTTGAGGTTATTTTTCGAGGCCGACGCCATTTTTGGGTGGCCACGCATACTAGGAGTCATTTTGGACAAAAATTGAAATTTCAACAAAAATTGGAAAAATAATATTATTTTATTCCCGGAACTTCGCAGTTGATTTTCGAGGACTTAGAAAGTGAATTTCGCGATTCTGACGCCATATTATGTTGGCCACGCACATATGGAACACGTATGTGCGAAAATTGGAATTTCGCCCCAAGACCGGAAAATTACGATTTTGCCCCTAGGCCTATTTTTGGGTATTCCGAATTTTGGGGATTAAGTGTGGATAAATATCAGCCCCAAAATATTGGACAAAAACGCCCTTAGATATTTTGGTTTGGAAGAATGTGGACCAAGTGTTTTAGGGGCAAAATTGGAATTAAGAAAAAAATTGGTCAAACCTTGGACCAAATATTTAATTGTTTCTCTCCTCTCTCTCTCTCTCCTCATTCCCTCTCTTCTCACGGCACCCCCCCCCCCAACAGAGAACTCTCTCCCTCTCTCCCTCACCAAAAATCCTCTCATCTCTCTCTCGGCCTTGGACCGCCGATCATCGCCGGAGCATCGCCGGAGCAAGCCGCCACCGCCGATCGCCGCCGGCCAGCCGTTCCCCCTTGCTGCTCTAGCCGAGTTAGTCTAGAGTTCGGGTAAGTCGCGATCTAATCCCTATTTAGGACGTCGGGTATTTTCGGACTCGTTCGAGTATGGTTTAGAGGATTTAGAGGTTAATTAAGGCGTTGATAATGATTATTGGTGGTTGATCATGGTTATTGGTGGCTGAGTATGGCTGGTAGTGGTTGTTGCGGGTTGGATTAGACGTCGGGAAATGAGTTTTGGCGGTTGAAATTCGGTAGAAATCGGTTCGGGTTTGAATCCGTGAGGTTCGGGGTGAATCGCCGATTCGCGGTTACTGTACCCACTCAGTTTGCTATTTTTTTAGAGAATTTTGTGGGCCGAATTTGAGGAATTTTCTTCATAAAAGTTGTTCCCAACATCTTGAAATATAACATATTTTAATTTGGGAATTTTTGGAAATCATTTGATGCCATTCGGAAGTCCATCTTTGGACCGAAATAAAACTGCCCGATTTACTGTTCATCCGACCTTCGGGTCTGTTCGAATTTTTATAAATTTTTCCAGGACTATTTTCAAAATACTTCCTTCACAAAATTTGTTGGGGACATTAGTGGCTATAACATATAAAAATTTCAAATCTTTTCAATGTGATTTGGGTGTTGAAATAAATGTATTTTGAGGAAAAAACGGTCTGTTTGAGCGAACTGATTTTGGTCTGACTTCGAGGGACAAAAAGGCATGGTTTCAGATTGAACCGGATTTCGTGTTCTTCATGAGAAATGTTTATCAAGATGTTTTTTATGACATATCCAAAATTTAGAATTTTTGGAGTTGTTTTACTATTTATTTCAAATGGATTTCTTTCACTGCACAACTGCCCAGTTTGGACCCGATTTTTACATATTCTCGGTTTTTCTCTCTCTCGAGAATTATTCAGTGTTATCGTGGCATTTTGATGGGTAGTTTGATGCTTGAATGAGCTCGTATGTGTGATTGTGTGGCTGTGAGGTGTGGTGGCATGATTGCGCATTGAGTTCGCG